AATTGAATATCAGCTGTCTTTTTTATGCACACACACCATCCTCAACCACATGGACACTCCTATCAATAGCATGTAAGACAAGCATGTCAAACTCCTGGCTCGGAGTCCTTATTGGGCATCATTGGATTAATTGCGTGAAACTAGCCAGGTCACCTACTGAGCAGTGGAAACATGTGCCAGGCTGCAGCAAAGATGGTCTTCAGGTTTGGGGGGGAAACTGATATTTGATATTAAAAAAAAAATAGTCTTCATGAAAAAAACACACACTGCAAATTCATGGTCTGGTCTTATTTTTAATTTTGAGTTATATGTTTGAGGGGAATAATATAATCTTTTCAGGGCCTAGGACCTCAAAATGTCCTTGCAAAGTCACCCCTGAAATAAGCAGAAAAATCAGATACAGAGAACAAACTGATGGTCTCCAGATGGGAGGGGGTTGGGGGCTCAGTGAAAAAGGTGAAGGATTTAAGAAATACAAATGACTAGTTATAAAAACAGTCACAGGGATATAAAATACAGCAAGGAGAAAGTAGTCAATACCCTTGTAATAACTACGTATGGTGTCTGATGGGCACTAGAATGACCAGGGTGATCACATTGTAAGTTACATAATGTCTATTCATGGGTTGTAGGCCAGAAATGAATATAATATTGTATGTCAACGGTAAGTGGAAAATGTTTTTTAAAGGGAATTCTAAGCCATGCTGCCACATGGATGTTATGCTTAGGGAAATAAGGCAACTAGTGTATGATTCCACTTATAGGAATGCCTAAGGCAATCACACTCAGACACAAAGTAAAGTGGCAGCTGCTGGGAGCCGGGAGGAGACATAGGGGTGTTTAGGACACAACAACCTGCTTTGTCAGAGGAAAGAGGTCTGGGATGGATGGTGGTGATGGTTGCACAACAATGTGAATGTGTTTAATGCCACTGAACTGTGCACTTAAAAACCAGTTAAGATGTAGCCGAAACCGGTTTGGCTCAGTGGATAGAGCATTGATCTGCTGATTGAAAGGTCCCGGGTTTGATTCTGGTCAAAGGCATGTACATTGGTTGCGGGCACATCCCCATGGGGGGTATGCAGGAGGCAGCTGGTTGATGTTTCTCTCTCATCGATGTTTCTAGTTCTCTATCCCTCCCCCTTCCTCTCTGTAAAAAATCAATAAAATATACGTTAAGATGTTAAGATTTACATATGTGTGTTTCACCACGGTAAAAAACCTTAAAAAAAAAAGAAAGAAGAAAGAAAGAAAAGAAAGAAAGAAAGAAAGAAAGAAAGAAAGAAAGAAAGAAAGAAAGAAAGAAAGAAAGAAAGAAAGAAAGAAAGAAAGAAAGAAAGAAAGAAAGAAAGAAAAGAAAAGAAAAGAAAAAAAGTAAGCAGTAAAACCCCCTGCAGGCTTCACAGTGCAGTGGCCCAGACTCCAGACTGAAATGGCAGAGCCGGCCCTCTGCTGCCACCTGCTGGTTGACAGGGAGCGTTTCCCAGGCCACAGCGGTGGAGGCAGGCTTTTATGGTGACCAGGAGCTCTGTTCCTGGCTGTGAAAGCTTTTGGAGAAGGAACTTCTTAGAAGCCCTTTTAAAACACGCTCCCCTGGGCGCTGGGTGTGCCTGATGCCTGGTCCTGCTTCGTGTCTTCCTCTAGGGCTGCTTCCCTCGTCTGCCACGCTAGGTTTCGCTCGCTGTTCATTCTTTCTGTATCCATCGAAGAGGGAGAAAACTCAGCATGCTGAAGCAGAGGGAGGAACAGCGTGTGTGGATGCTCTGGGAATGCAGGGCACTGGTGCTCAGGCAGAGACATGACACGTGGCCATGGGATAGGGATGGCCACGGTGGGAAACTCGGTCAGATTTATTTGAAGGAAAGAACCGCAAGTGTTTCACTTGCTTATTTTTCTCTCATCTGTCACCACTAACATATCAGCTCCAAAAGGCAGAGGTTTCTGCAGGTTTTGTTCACTGCTATGGCAGATGCAGCTGCCCAGTCTCCCTCCTTCCTGTTAGTAACAGAAGCGCCTATGGGCAGTGGCTGGGTGTGCATTGCCAAGTAGAGAGCACACTTCCCAGCCTCTCTTGCAGCTACATGAAGAGATGCATCTAGGCAATTGCCAATAAGTTGTGAGTAAAAGTTCTTCTATACCTTCCAGGTCTTGCCTTAAAATGGCTGTCCCCTTCCTGCAGGCTAGAGACAGATGTGGTGAGGATGAGCCTTGTAAGCACGATGCCTCAGAGAATGGCCAAGCCACCAAACAGCAGGAGCCCGAGTGCTCTGATGCCATGCAGACAGAGCCACCCACCAGCCTTCCCCTTTCCTCTGCCTGCCCATCTCTGCACAGCAAACGGAAGAGGAATAAATGCCCATCTTGGGGTCTCTTTGTCATAGACTCTGTTATGAAATGCACTGTCTTCCCAAATTTTATATGTTGGAACCCTAACTCCTAATAGGACTGTATCTGGAGTTAGAGCTTCTAAGAGGTCAAATGAGGTCATAAGGGTGGAGCCCTAATCCAGCAGGATGGTAGCATGGGGGTCTTTATAAGAGGGAGAGACACCAGATCCCTCTCTCTCTCTCTCTCCTCACTGGGAGAGCCCACGTGGGGACACAGCAAGAAGTGGGCTGTCTACAAGGCAGGAAGAGGGGCCTCACCAGAAACCAGCCCTAGCGGCTCCCTGACCTTGCACTTCTAGCCTGTGAGGAATGTATTTCTGTCACCTAAGCCACCCAATTGTGGCATTTTCATATGGCAGCCCTAAAGGACAGCTTCTTGGTCTACACCCTAACACACTGTGGAACCTCTGGAGTCCAGAACAGAGCCTGGAAATTAGCGGAGAGGAAATACATGTTCTTTGGATAGATGGATAAATGAGTAGAATACAAAGACAGTATTTATTGTGTGCAGAGATATAAAAAATGTACCAGATGAATGGATTTCAGCAGATTCTATCTGTCCACTCACCCACCCGTCACCTTCCCATCCCCCTGTTGCTATTTGGAAGCAAAGTGGGACCTCATCTTGTTCTTATGCCAGTCAGTGCCTTCTCTCCCACAGCCCACCCTGCACCTACCCGCCGCCAGAGCCTGTCCATTCCACCGCGGACATCACTGTAATTATTTGGCATTGCAATGCTCACTGTTTTAGTCCAGCCTCTGTGAGTTCTTCTTACTTTGATTGCTGCTTCCAAACCTTCCCTCCGCAGCCTCTGTACCTGAGCCTGTTGAGAGACTTCTATTTGCCTCTTTCCAATCCATGTGCCTTCTTTCCTAGGAACAGATTCCTCGTGTCCTGCAGTGTGACCGTGCTCTCTGTGAAATGCCCTATTTCCCCCGTGTCCCCAGCCCAGGGGCAGCCATAGGGCTCAATTCCGGCTGAGCAGGTACAAGCGGAATCTGTGGGTGAGGCTTCTGGAAATCCTCTTACAAAGATGGGCAGAGATCTGGGGCCAGGCCACCTGTTACACACCCACCATCCCTTCTTCCTCCTTGTTGCCTGGAATTTGGGAGTGATCACTGGAGCTCCAGCAGCCACCACTGAATATGGAAAATTGAGAAATACAGAGAAAGAACTCCATCCCTGAGGATCTTGTGGAACTGCCCTCCTCCAGGTTTAATTTACACATCAGTGAGATGCACCTTCCAGCGTAGGGGTGTCGAACTCAATCAGAGAAGGGGCCAAAATCTAAAATCCAGCCTAAATCGCGGGCCGAATGGTTTACTGAACAGTCATAAACTGTCATTGTGATGGAAACGCAGCGGAGTGCAGTGATGACAGCGTAGTGCGGGCCACATTGCAAGGCCTGGCGGGACTGATTTGGCCCGCGGGCCTTGTGTTTGACACATGTGTTCCAGCGTGTAAGCCGCTACAGGCAGGCTCTGGGATTAGCCGCTGAACGCCGCTCCCAACTGGCCCCAACCTGTGCCTTCTCTGCCGTCAGCTTAACCTTGCCAATCATGCCCATTCTGAGGGCTGTTCCTGGCACCACGGTGCAGGCTCAGAGGGGCTTCGGCAAACACCCAATCCTGCAGGGCTGCTGGGAGGACTATCAATAGCCTCATTTCACAAGGCTCGAGATCATTCAGTTAGCAGGTGTCAGGGGAAGGATGAGAAGCGAGGTTCAGATGATGTTGAGGAATGACCGGAAGGGGACTGGGACTGTGGTGTGAGCTATGGGACATGGAGACTTGACATATGCATACAAACACACACATGCACATAGGCGTGTGTATAACACACACACACACACACACACACGCACACAATTGGAATCTAGACTGGACACCTGCTGCTCCAGACTGTCTTCATCCCATCTGCCCTTTTCGGATGACAGAACTCTCCTGTTGTGGGAACTGTCCCTGTTCCAACCTAACCTGTCAATCACTGAACATGACCCCAATGGGCATGTGGTCCCCCCCTCCACTGCACAATGTGAGGGCCTGTGTCTCACTAAGTCAGAGCTCTTTGGGGGCTGCCCTTTAAGCTGTCTGTGACCTGTGACCGAGGCCTATTTGCATCTCAAAGACGCTGTCTCCTTCTCCATAGGACGACGACAATTTGTTACCTGCTCTCCTGGGTAGTCGTGGGGATGAGCTGAAGAATTCAGTAAAGGGCCTGGTACATGGTGAATGTCCACTTGCCATTAGACTTCTTCGAAAAGCTCTCATTTCTATAGACTCCACGAGTCTTTCGTGTAGAAATTACTGTTTTAAAAAATGGACAGTTAAGCTCCCAAATCCCACTTAAACCTGGTTCATTAGTTCATTTGTTCTCTGTCACACAGGTAAGAGGTTTATGTCTCTGATTTTTGGAAGAATCACTTCCACTGATGTGAGTGATAAAAAGACAGACTTGGGGACAGTCCCCATCCCTTATCTGTCTCTAAAATAGCAGCTGTCATTGCTGAGATTAGGAACTCTGCATTTCTCCTCAACCTGGCAATCTTAAAAACTAGAGACATTTTCATTCCCACTGGAACGAGAGTCCAGAAACCACGTGGAACACAAGTGTTTGGACGTGGTCACGGTATTTATTCATATATACTATATTTTTGCAAAGTGTTAACAATGGAGAACAGCACGTATTCATACAGAGTCTACCCTCTCCTGGCACGCTCTGGAGTTCCGGGGCACGGAGGATGCTGCCAGGCTTTTCTTCATCTCTTTGGTTTGTGGACGTTGGCAGGGCCTGCCAGGGGGCGTTGGCAATGACTTCCCTCCAGTCGGGTTGGAAGGCAGCAGGACGATGGCTTTGGCACTTCCATTTGGAGAGACGTGGCAGACTGGGGTGATGGACGGTCAGAAAGCCTGGGGAACCCGGTTCCCCACAGGTCCTGTCTTGTCACCAATGCCGGTCACCGCAGCAGCCATGAATGCTGGCAGGGTCCTGCGCTCGCGGCCGGAGGGAAAGGCGTGTTGCCAGCCAATGTGTTCATGCAAAAGGCAATGACTAAGCACCTGGCTCTGAACTTCCCAGCACTCTGGTGGTGCTGAAGCCAGCGTCCTACGTATGCACCCTCGTCTCGCATCTGGTAAACTCGGGCGTCATTTCAGAAAACCTTAGCGAAACGCTGAGAGGACCTCTCTTTCTCAAGGCCTCTGGAATGACGCTGCTTGAGGGGCCCTCCATTTTCACACGGAGGGACTGAGGCACCATGAACTGAAGCAAAGCATATTCACAACAATCGCAATGAAAAGACCAGAGCACAGCTCTCTTCCAAGAAAGACATGTCCGGAAGTGGGGTAAACAGCTGGTCTCATTCTGGCCAAGTGATTCCGTCCATGGGACAATGTCTTTCGGTTCCTCCCTTATTAAAAGTGTTTGCATTTCTGAGTCTGAAGATCACTTAAATAATACAATAGTAGCACCAAGGCAGCAATTTTGTTCCCAGAGTTCACATGAAACTGAACAGATACTTAATGTAATTCATAGCTGGAACAATCTGTGACATCACTACATTCCTGACTGGCTAACGACGCTTTCATAGAAATGGCAAATACCGCTGTAGCACCTTGATGATAGCTAGATTGTTTTCAAAAACAAATTACAATTTTTTTTAAAAAAATGAGCAATAAAAAGATTTACATATAGAAAGTAAACAATGGTGTACCGTGATAATGAAGGATCACTTTTGTCATAATACTACATATAATGTAGAGTACGTAAAATGCAGTGGTCTGACTGCAAGGAACAAAATATTGCAAAAGGCAGTCATAATAGAATCATTTTACGTACAAAAATATTACATCACAATAAATAATTTCAAACATAAATATTAAACTTTACATCATTAGGACATTCCACAAATATACACACCCATATCCGGAGATATGGGTGTGTATATATAGGTTTATATATGCATATGTATATGTACACACACACACACACACACACACAAGCATACAAGTCCACACACGCACACACGCACGCACACACACGCCCAGATTTTAGGTGGAGGTATTGCATTACTATCCTTCATCCGTCCATCACGGCTTCCTCTTCAGGGCACCTGAAACAGATGAGCCAACCAAGAAAGGTCAATCTTCTGTCTCAAATGTCAAAAGTCAAGCGTAAGCAATCCATACTTTTCACATGCAGAATGAACAATCACACATTATTCCTAGATTTTACAAGTAATGTGTGTTTGCTATAAAATACCTGTAGATTTCAGGGGAGCATAAAGAATAAAAAGTCACTAGCTGGAAATTCCCACCTGAGAGAATGCTCTTCTCATACTGGTATATTTCCTTCTATGTACAAGTAAATGTTATGTAAAACACATGCAAACATCTCTTTACCTTAGGTAAAGTATATAAACACACATATAATGGGGATCTCTGGTGGATACTTGCTGACTATGTCTGCCTTCATCCCGTCTCCCCATTTCCGATAACAAATCCCTATGCATTAGGAACTATGTCTCCTCTAAATGAAGCTGTCAATCACCCGATTCTAGGTGGGTACATGAGCTCCATTTCCTGGACATTGTGATTGGTTCAGAAGTGGCCATGTGACCCAATCAGAGCCAGAGTTGCTGTGCAGAATGGATGCTGGAGATGAGCATTTACTTGGGACCATGAGCTTTAAGGGTGATGTGAGCCTGGAGCTGCCAGGGGCCACAGTGCGGAGAGATGGCCTCCCTGCGAAGGAAGTCGTTTAAGAGGCAAGCATTGCTGATTGATGGAGAAGGAATGAATCCCGATGACTCAGCTTGAGCCTCTGGATCCAGTCATGCCTGAAGCCAGCCCACTGCTTGAATGGCTGAGTTATTTAAGACAGTACGTTTCCTTTTGGTCTTTTGCCTCTTGCAAAGAAGGAATCCTAACTTGAGGTCATCATTTTGAATTTAGATGTTTAATTGAACCTGGAAATATTGCTTTATAAGTGACCACTAGGTTCCCCTGTGTCAGGGTTTTAAGGAGCTTCCCAGGACCATGGGCTGCTGGAAACTGGACGGTAGCTAGTGGGTGGGTCACACGAGCGGGTTGAGTTCTTCCCTTGTGGCTGAAGGCACTGAGGCAAGAAAAAGGGGGACCGACTCCACCCTCTGCCCAGCAGAGAAGGCACCTGTCGGTGTAATGCGGTTAGACCAGGGGCTGCCAAGCTTCCACAAGCACGACTCTCCTGGGGATTATTTGAATGCAGATGTTGCTTTCACGGGTCTAAGATGAGACCTGGGATTCTGCGTGTTTAACGAGCTCCCAACTGCACCCAAAGTGTGTGCCACAGTGCAGTCAGGAGGGCAGGGGCTCTGGTGCAGGACATGCCAAGGCTCTGCCAAGGGGACTCATCGTGCCCACAGGCAAATTGCCTACTGTGTGGGCTGCGACTTCCATCTGTCAAACGAGGATCACAGGCCCATGTGTGGCTCTCTTGTGAGGATTCCATGAAATGATGCCTGCTGAGCGTGGAGCCCGGCACACAGTCAGGGCGCAGGGAACTCCCTAAGTGTTATTATTACAATACTCCCAGCAGCATTCGCAAAGGTTGTGTCACCCACATCAGAATTCTCTGTCCTAAAAACACAGATTCCTGCCCAGATTCAGGTCCTCCTGAGGCAGGGCCTGCTGAGTGGCAGCACTTTAACCAGCTCTGTAGCCAAAGCTGACACAGGAAGCCTCAGATCCCAGAGTGGAGGGCAGATGAGCAGGGGAGGAAAAGGCAGGACAGTCCCTTATCTGGGGGCAACGGACCTGGCCACATTTGTTACTCATTAGGTTACAGAAAGAATGTAGACAGACAGACAGACAGTCAGACAGAACTTACTTACCTTAACTATAAAATCCGAACCTCCAGGCCAGTGCCTGAGGAGGGAGTGCATTTCCCACAGTAACCACCGCATGTCCCCACGACTCGGGTGCCATCCTGCAAGCAGATGCATGCCATGAGACTCCCCGCTTGGCTAGCGTGTCCAGCGCACGCCCTGGCTCTGCAGGCAATCACTTCTGCACACATAGGAGCAGGCCTCCTAAAAGCAGTGGCACCTGCACCTCACTGTGGGTGAAGCTGGGGTGACGGCCGTGGGCTCAGTGCAGCTTCCACCCACTTCCGTATGGCCCACAGGTCAAGCATAGAGTTGACGTTTTTCTTTTATTTTTTGTTTATTAATGTTGAAAGAGAGGAAAAGGGAGACACAGAGAAACAATGATTTCTTGTTCCACTTATTGATGCATTCATTGGTTGCTTCTTGTATGTGCCCTGACCGGGGATCGAACCCACAACCTTGGAGCATCATAATGACACTCTAACCAATTGAGCTACCAATCAGGGCATGAGTACCTTTTAAACAGATTAGATGAAGCAAATAATAATAATAATAATAATAATAATAATAATACTTCTTGGCATGTGAAAATTTTATAAAATTCAAGTTTCACTGCCCCTAAGGTTTTATTGAAATGTGGCCTTGTTCATTCCAGTGTTGAGTAGCTTGGACAGCTCTCTATATTGCTACTCTGCACAATGCCAATCACAGTGACACCTCTTCAGTCGACAGTGTTTTGAGTGCCAGGGGTATTCTATATCATAACATTCTGCTTTATTTTTTATTACTAGTGTCAAAACAAGAAGAGAAGAAAAGTGGACTCTGGATGCTACACTTTTAAGGTACAGTGATGTGTTGATTATCCCATTATCAAATTGAGAGAGCAAAGCCTGGGCTTTATTTCACAATGACATCACAGCTGTGCGAGGAGAAAACACTCTTAACCAGCAGTCGCCAACCTTTTGGACCCCACAGGCCACTGGTCTGTGGGTCCCTGGTTGGCGACCACTGCTAAACCGGTGTTACCAAACTCGGCCTTCATCACAGTGTTCCCGACTCCCGGGCAAGCAATGCCCCAAGATCAAAATGTTTAAAAGGGAGTATCTCACCGAAGCATAATTTCTTTGTAAAAATAAAAAAATGTGATGAGTAATAAATAAGTTTCAAAGTGGCTCCTTTGTTAGCCAAGAATGGAAACAGTTCACTCATGAAATCTTGTTCGATTGTAATAGCCAAATAAACATGTCCAGAGAAAGTAAACCTGTCCTTCGCAGAGAAAGTTTTCTAACCCTTGATCTAGAGCAGGAGTGGGGAATCTTTTCTCTGCCAGCAGCCATTTGGATAGTCATAGCATCATTCTGGGGCCACACAAAATTATCAACTTTAAAGTCAGCCTGTACATTTGGTCGAACATGTGATTAACTCACCGCCAATGCCTTGGCAGGGTCAGACATTCTCCACCCCTGGTCTATAGTCCTGTGTGTCCACTCCAGATACCATCACTTCCCTCTACCCTGCCCTGCTGCAGCTCTGAGTTTCCGTGGGCTGTTTTTCTGACGTGCTCTCTACCCTAGGCCTGAGCACATGTCGTTCCTCTACCATAGGGGTGTCGAACTCAATCAGAGAAGGGGCCAAAATCTAAAATCCAGCCTACATCGCGGGCCGAATGGTTTACTGAACAGTCATAAACTGTCATTGTGATGGAAACGCAGCGGAGTGCAGTGATGACAGCGTGGTGCGGGCCACATTGCAAGGCCTGGCGGGACGGATTTGGCCCGCAGGCCTTGTGTTTGACACATGTGCGTCTACCTGGAGCGCTCTCCTCCTTTGCCCTCTGTGTGCACTGGGTCAGGCCAACTTTTGACTGGAAAGTCCTTCAGGACCCAGCCCAGCGGTCCTTCCCTTGACATGCCTTTCTGACCCAGTTACTGCTATACAGCATCCTGTAAAGTTAGGCAGTTCCTCCTTTACATCTGTCTTCCTGCCAGAAGGTGAGCCCCAGGCTGGCAAGGCATTGCCAAGTTAAGATCCCAGAGTCTCCAGGGTAGGCAAACACAGGTTTCCAGGGGAAATATGGAAAACAATGCAATCTACACTAATAAAAGAGAAATATACAAATTGCTTGCACCTTCGCTACGTTCATCAGCCAATCAAGAGTGAGTATGCAAATTAAGTCAAGAAAGATGGTGGGTTAATTTGCATAAACAGGCGCCGAGTAGTGGGGTTGGGATGCTTGAGTCATCTCCATGGTGACTATGCAGGCATTCTACACCACCCCAGCTACTCTGGGTCTCTGGGCAGTGTGGGAAGGCAGAAAGGCAGCTCTTGGCTGGAGCAAAGGCGGTGCTGGCAGCCAGGGGAAGGAAGGCCCATTCTTGCAGGAATTTTCGTGCATTGGACCTCTAGTAGTTAATAAACAGCACCTTCATACACTCACATTATGAGCCTGCGTGGCTCAGTGATACTAAATATGCATTTGTTGAATGAATGAATGAATGAATGAGACTGAGGCGAACTCTTCTTTTTGATCTTGGATTCGAATCACTCTGCTCCTAAGTTCTCCTAACTCTTCACCATGCAAGGAAGAACTTGTTTAAGCGGCATCTCGCACACTGTGAGTTCATCATATCACAGTACCCCTCTACCCCTCCACTGGGCACAGCGTTTGGCATCTTAGATGTTTCCCATATGCCGTTCACTATTGAGAGTAACACTGTGATGGACCATCGCATGCCTGCATTTGGGTTACATTCCCAGAACGGGGTCAAAGGCCATGGATATTTGGTTCTTATGGCCAAATTAGGAAAGTGTCTTGCAAATGAGGATACTCTTAGTAGTCATAGAATTTTGCCAAGTTAACAAGTAAAAAGGACAAATTATGTTCTCTCTCACATGTGCATGCCTTGGGGTATGAGTGAGATGAGTTGGGGGTTTCTATCACCCCGATGGTTCTGGTTTAAGGCCCATGTGAGTTCTGGAGCGAGTCTGACACCAGCAACTGGATCTGGCACCAGACCAAGCTTCTAGCCAGGAGCCTTCGCCCAGGCTGAGAACTGGGCTGGTGGTCGTAGGATGCCAACATGCTAGAATGCCTCTGTCTCATCAAAGCTTGAGCTTCACCTAAACTCTCTCCTGACCCGGTGGAGAGAGTACCTGACGGCAGCGTGGGGCCAGTGCTGCATTTTTAAGTAACTGTAAGCCCGGGGCACCTGGGAATGGGAGTGATATTAGTGTCTCCTGACAGGTTTGCGGTAAATCAATGAAGGCATGTGAAGTGCGTGGCCTAGTACTTAACCTAGTACTTGTGGAATATTCACTGTCTGTATCATAAGGGTGTATTTCCTCTGTGCATCTCCATCATTGCCTGTTGTCATGGAGATGAGGAAAGGCTGGTATTTGTAAAACCGTTGATAATGACTTTGCAATTGTCATCTTATTTTACTAATTGGGACTCTGCTAATGTGATTTAGATAAAAACTAACCCCAAACTTATTTTTATTACACAACAACAACAAAATGTACTGGGGAGATGCATAGCATAAAGTGGTTGCCATGGAAACAGTCCCTATTATTGAGATAAGGGTCTGTTTTCCAGCATTTCAGAAGCACCAACCGCATTTATTTCTTCCCTAAAGCAAATGGAGCTTTCTAGAAATAAGCCCCATGACTTCAACGAACATGTGGTAGCTAGGCTGGTGTAAGCTCTTACATATGTTAAGATGAATGACGCTCTGCGCCATTAAGGACAGTTTATATTTCATACTTTCCCCACCTTCTCTGTTTCCTCAGCCAATGGGAGAGGGGAGGTCTCCTGGTGCCTTAGCGAAGCCAGCAGCTCTGGGGCTGGAGCATGCTCATTTTCCTTTCTTGGGTGGGGTGGGGTCCCATGTGGACAAAATCCACATGGTGCTGTGGATACCAGAGGGCCCAGGCTCAGCCTGGGCTCAGCCTGCAGTCCCTGGCCTTCCACGATCATCTCAAGGAAGCCTGCTTCCTTTGCCACCTCCATCAGCTCCTAAAAACTATGGCCAGCCTCAGGACTGAGAAAATGTTGGGTAATCCTATATGATAAAAGGGTAATATGCAAATAGACCGAACAGCGGAACAGTTGGTCGCTATGATGCTCACTGACCACCAGGAGACAGACACTCAACACAGGAGCTGCCCCCTGGTGGTCAGTGTGCTCCCACAGGGGGAGGACTGCTCACCCAGAAGCCCAGCCCATGGCTGGCGAGCACAGCACTAAGGATGTCCGACTGCCAGCTTAAGCCCTCTGCCCCAGGGGACACTGTCAGGATGTCCCTTTGGCCTCCCCAGGCAGCCCCGGAGGTGGTGCAGACGCAGGGTCTGGTCTGAGAATCACTGATGTGGGGACCGTTAATTTGAATAAAGTCACAGATTTCCATCCTGTGTATTTAGTCCCACCTCTCATGCCCCATGCTTGCTGTGATGCTTCGAGAAGGAAATAAGATAGAAGTTTTTTTTCCAAGTGCGGGAAGAGCGGTGTTCCCTGCAGGGGCTGCCTGTGGCTAGCGGTGGCTCAGTCTGGCTCCAGAGGCATACGGAATGCCCCACACACCCTGGCGATTGTTTTGAGTGCAGGCTCTCTGAACTGCTGGGGAACACCAAGATTTAAAAGGAAAATGCTGACAGGCAACTGTGGAACCCATTCCCTCCTGCACAGGGGAAATGGAGCCCAAAGCTTGGGGCGCAGCCAGGGGATCTTGTCCGGTAGTAATCATTGTTTCCACAAGGTGGCGCTCCCGGCTGTAACTATTGTCAGTTGTGTGAACAAAACTGAGATATTGACTTTGGCTGCCTAACAGGATTGAAACTTGTATCACAGTTTACATAGATGGTTTCCTACATAATGATGCTTCATGTCGAACCATGTTTTGGGCAGTTAATTAGTTTTTTGTTCCTCTGGGTCATTGAAACATAATAATATGTAGGCCCTGGAGGGCAGGGGTAGGGAAGAGCATTATAATTTCAGAGCAGGCGTGTGCTGCTCTCCGCTCTCTCCATCCCCTTCAGTGCAAGGAAAAAGATGTAATGATTAATTTATGTGCAATCAATCTAATTAGAGGTAGCTGATTGGCTGAGACAAGACGGAGTGAGAATATGTTTTTCTTTTCTTTTTCTTTTTCTTTTTTTCATGGACACAAATATAACTGCAGCTTAAAACAGGGGCACTGGGAAACTCAGATTTTCCTGGGAAGTCACAATGGGATGAAGCTGTCTTTCCCGAGGGGAAGCAGATTGAGCTGCTCCTTTATATTCTGATTTGATAGGATCAGCAAATAAAAATACAGGATGCCCCACCAGGGGTGAATTTCAGATCACCAACAAATGCTTTTTACAATAAATATGCCGCATGTGATGTTGAAGACTTAATAATAAAAAAAAGTTTCCTTGTTTATTTAAAATTCTAATTTCACTGGGCATCCTGTATTCTGTCTGGCAGCTCTACACGCCATTTCCAGTTCTCTTTTCTTTCCCCCTCCCCTCCTCACAGACCTGAGGAGGCCTTGGACAGGGGCCATGGCGGGGGTCAGCCTGGGACCATGGGCCGTTCCCCACTTGTCCCTGGGCCAGGTTCCTGTCACAGGCCCACAGTCCCGGTTTTTAACAATTTGTCCCGCAGCGTTTTAAAAAAGTCCAGATTTTTGAAATCAGGACTTTTTTAAAACGCCATGGAACGCGGGACAAAATGTTAAAAATTGGGACCGTCCCGCCAAAAGCAGGATGTCTGGTCACCTTACCCTAAGCTCACGAAAGGGACCCTCATGTTGGCTAATTGCTCGGTGACCGGTGCTCACACTTGCTGGGTGGCTTCTTGCTGCTCCCAGCCTCCGGGCCAGCACCCACTCACCGCCTGCAGGTGCCCGCTCACATCCCCACGGAGAATGCTCACCCACACACTCTTTCCCTTTGCAAAATGGTTTGTGGAAAGGGACAGCACATACATACAACCTAGGGCAGGGGTAGGAAGGGAGGGAAGACAGAGACACCCAGCACGCCCCCCCCCCCCCCCCCCCGCGGCCCCTTACCGGTGACTTCCTGATGTTGGAGACGGCATAGTTCCCTTGTGAGATCCATCTGGCGGACTCGGTTAAAGAAAGGCCTGTTCCGTAAAGGTTGATGCTGAAACGACCCTGGAAAATGGCCAGCGAAAATGATTGTCAGTCCATGGGACATCCCAAGCAAAGGCTGCACAGTCAAAGGGAACGTGGAAAGGAGACGGTGGTAATTCTTAACGAGCTATTAATTATGAAGGGGTTTTTTTGGGGGGGTTGGGTGAGAGGGAGTAGGTCTGGGCCAGACCCTTTACAAGCATCATCTCATCCATCACAGAGAGAGCTCCATGAAGGAGCTTTCTTCGTAGATGGGGAAACTGAGGCCCAGCAGAGCCGCTTGGCTTCTTCAGGATGCCATGCAAGTCCAACCCACGTTATTTTCCTGACTTCAAAGTCTTCGCTCTCAACTAACGCAGCAACCCTGACGTGGACCGTAATTACCAGATTCTTTCAGGAACAAAATGCCACAAGGTAATTTTTCTAACAAGACCTCGGCTGCCAAAGCTTCCCGGGCTTGGCTCCCCATACAGGGCACTGGGTACTGAGCACAGCGGGGCGGGACTTCAAAGGAGCGGCACGGCTCCGGGGCGGCCAGCAGAGGGCGCGCGCGGCCCCCTCTCCAGGCTACTGGGGCTCCTTTGGATACATGGCTCCAGGCTGTTTCCATATTTCCTCCTAAGGAGGCGGCGCAGAGAGCTAGCTGTTCTCCTGGTTTTCCCAATACGTCTCTGTCTCCTCTCTCTCTCTTTCAAAAAACAGCTTTGCAGAGGGAAGGTAGGGGAGGGTGGGGGTAAGGGGGAGAGATCAACCAAAGACTTGTATGTGTGGATATAAGCCTAACCAATGGTCACAGACAACAGGGGGGTGAGGGCATGAGTGGGGGGGGGGGGGGGTAGAGGACAGTGGGGGAGATGAGGACACATATGTTAACACCTTAATAAAAAAAAAATTAAAAATGGTTTCTTCTAGAGGTTTGCTCCACGAGAGCAGTTCCCGAGTGAAATGATCCCCATGAACACGCTCAGAGCGAACGCTTGCTCCTGAACCTCACCACCCAGGCCTTTGTCAAAAGCCTTAGTAACGCAAGGAGGGCGGCTAGAGCCCCATCAGCCCGAATGTAAACTCAGCGCTTTTTCAGGGCAATGGGAGACCCTGGCACGGTGTTCAGCCCCTGGGACCCCGGTTTGCCTGTCTGCGGTGGAGGTAATTCACAGTCCTGTTTTCTGGGGTCAGCGGGCAGCTACCGCGGATCGGCAACACTGAGCGGGAGGTTCGCTTTCCTGGCAGGTGTCTCCACGTCCAGGCTGAACGAGGTTCCGATCTGTGACATTTGTCAGACCCCAGGGGCAGCCTGCACTTCCTGTTCCTGGTGCACACATAACCGTGATCTGATCTAACTCGTGAATAGGAGGGGGTTAGGTGGTAACTCGCTACCTGGCAGAGTGGCTGAACTCTTAAAATGTGCCCTGCGATTGCTCTGTGACAGCCCCTAGGGTTGGTGGTGGTTAATCTGAGTGTCTGAGCGGCTGTGCCGAGGCAGAGCCGCCCTTGCGGTCCCCAGACACTGGCTTCTGCCGGCTGGAGTGCCCAGCGGGCCACTTTCCTTCTCTCTCGGTCATTTCTGCCCCAGGATGGTCCACACCCCCTCTCATGCCCAGGCCACACCGCTGCCAAGGACTCCTCTCGTTTCTCCCTCCCCATCCTGCTTCCCAGGCCCCGGCCTATCCCAGAAGGTGGACTTGATCTGCCCAGATGCCAAAGCCCTTAGGAGGTGCAGGCGGCTGACCTGGCTACTAGCCCAGGAAGTCACCCCCCCACACACCCCCCTCCAACTTCTCTGACCTGGTGTCCAGCGTCTGGGCTGCCCTCTCCGAGCAGGTGACACCCCTGAATGGAACACGCCCTCCTGCTCTCTCCTCCTTTTCCGGTTCAGGGATTTGATTGGCAGCAAGTGTCCCAGCGCTAAAGCTGAGGACTGCCAGGGGGCAAAAGCTCTACCCTTTCTCGCTGTAGTCAGGGGCATCCTTGTCCCAAGGCCCATCTTCAGGGTCCGGAGGCAGGAGGGTTTTAGCCACTACCTCTGTGGCCGGTTTAAAAGGGAAACAGCAATGAAGCACCTCGCAAACACTAAATGACCCAGAAAGCTTTGAGAGGGACACCCCTCAGGGTTTGCTCTCCGCTCAGACGCGAGTGGACATAGCAGAAATCCTGCCTGGAAACAGGATCAGCCAGACAGGCAGGGCTGCCATTTACACTCCGACACCTGGGGTCACACCCAGCCTCCGCGGTGCCCCGTCAGGACAGTCACCCAGCCTTTCAACACTCAGCGTCCCCGTTGGTGAGCAGGGAGTGTTCTCACAGGACGCTGTGGGGGTCAGATGAGATGCTGACTTGCAGATGCTGAGCACAGCGCCCGGAGCCTAGTAAACAATAAAGACTACCAATACCAGCCTCAGGCAGTTAATGACAAGGTGGCATCCACTGGGCTATGATTTAAAAGATATACATGTTCTGGTATATCTTCAGGTGAGGGCTCTTGGGGACCCCCACCCCCTTATGATAAGTGAATCCCCAAGTGGCAGCGGTGGAGAAGGCAGAAAAAGCAGACGGTCAGAGCATCCTGGGTCAGAGGATGAACCATCCTTGAGTAGCTCGCACAGCCCTGCTTTCCAGACCTTTCCCGAAAAACCGATTTGAAAACTCACTCATTCATCTCGTCGGTGCTCTATAAAGGAAAACAATTCTTGCCGAAACCGATTTGGCTCAGTGGATAGAGCTTCGGCCTGCGGACTGAAAGGTCCCAGGTTCGATTCCGGTCAAGGGCATGTACCTTGGTTGCAGGCACATCCCCAGTGGGGGGGGGGGGGTGCAAGAGGCAGCTGATCAAGGTTTCTAACTCTCTATCCCTCTCTCTTGCTCTCTGTAAAAAAATCAATAAAATATATTGGGGGGAAAAAAGAATTCTCTAAGTCCCCAATATGGTTTGGAGAAAGGGCTGGGAAAAAACACCAATGAGCCTCTCACTGGCTTTGGGTTTGCTCACCGTTTCAGTGTCAGGATTTAGCAAATCAACCTGCTCATTTGTCTCTAAGTCAGTGGGATAGATGAAGGGGAATTCACTCGTTATTTAAGCTCCCCCAAAAGATGCGCACACAGAAAAGAGAGACCCCTGAGTCAGCTGACAAAGGCAGTGCAGAGGGTCGGTCTATTCGCTGCTAAAAGGCAGCCCTCACAGGGGGTATTTGAAGACCCAAACTGCTCTAAAGACACCGCACTTCAAAAGTCTCCAGTCCCCGGTAATGGAGAAAAGGCCCCTTTCACCCTCACGCCCTTTGTTTATTTTCTTTCTCCTCTGAGAGCTTCCTCTTCAGGTCTCTGAAACCTTTAGCAATGCTTTCTAAAGCTCGGGGCTGAGAAAACACGGCCTTCAAGGAAGATTCGGATGTGTTTGTGTGGACGGTCCCTGTGGCGGGGTATAAATCCACCCCGGGATTCCGGAGGCAGCCCCAGCCCCGGGCTCTCCGAGGTGCACAGGCAGAGGGGAGACTCCGGCCTCCTGCGAACCAGAGGAAACCCGGGGGCCACCTTCTCCTGCCCACCGCCTCGCTCCTCGCTTGTCCTGCAAAGACTGGCGGCTGTCCTCCCGAAGCAGCCCCGGCTGGTGTGACAGCCAGGCCGATGCTGCAGAAGGAGGGCTAAGACCTGTGGCCCGGAGCGTGGGCAGGAGGCCTGCGGGGGAGAGGGTGTGTGTGCGTGTGTGTGTGCTCCTGGTCTGAGCGTTTCACCCGTCTGAGGTCGGCGACTGCCTCTCCATCCACACACCAGCCAGGGCTGTGAATGGTCGGCGGGGGTGTTGGAGTCCTCTGCACCGGCTTTTGGGAGCTGAACGCCTGTGTCCCCAGATCTCCATTGAGGGACATCGTGCCCATGCTGGAAATCAGCCATGCGGGCGGGAGGTATGGGCACTACGGGAATCGCAAGGGCTGTTCTTTTCTTTCTCGGAGAGCCAGCCATTCAGCATCTACCAGCATGCCCCTGGCTTCGTAACATTAATTTTATTATCATGTGCTTTACCACGCTGCTAGCTAGCCCACATGTAATGTATGTCTAAATGTTTGCATTGCAATCGGTGCGTTCTGCTGAATGCGGAGGTTTGGCGCTTGGCTGTGGCCGGTCCCTTAGGAATCACTCCTGGGAACGAAAGGAGGCTGGGTGGGGAGCTGTGAGCATCTGAAGGGCTCCCGGGGCCCAGACCAGTTTGCCCCAGAACAGCTGTTCTGCCTGCGTTCCGGCAGCCAGCGGGCCGGGCCGGCACATACCTGCGGGCACTTGGCGGCGCTGTAGCAGTCCCCCGCGGTGGCAAAGGGCACCGGATGCCCTTCGCTGGTCCTCGCGAACTGTAAGTCCGTGGCTGCGGAGTTCGGAGGAGAGTCAAAGGCAGAGGAGAGGGGACAGCGGGGGGAGAAAGAGGCGGGGAGGGGCCGGATGTTAGCGAGGAGAGAGAAGGGAATAAGGACAGTGAAAGAAACAATAAGGGAGTGGGAGGGAAAAAACACAGTGTGATTAGTGAGCAAAGGCATCCAGATGTGTCTGGCTTCTCCCTCGTGGCGGGTCTGAGAGCCGCCTCTCCCCGGGTTGTGTCAGCCCTGTCTCCTCGCAGCACAGAGCCCCCAAAGGGGGTGGAGGTGACCGTATGAATCCTGTGTGAACCGCGTCCCTTACACAGAGTGTGTGTGTGTGTGTGTGGCGGGAGGTGGGCGGGTGGGGGGAGGGGGGGAGACAGGTCATGGCCACCGAGGCCCCGGGACCAGGGAAGGAAGTGAGGAAGGTGATTCCAGGGAGTGACTCCGCGAGGCCTCCTCTGTCCTCCCGTGGCCCGGACGCTGTGTTATTGCCAAAATGTGGAGCAATTGGAACCCACATCTTGAAAGTATTAATGGCAGTTTCTCAAGTTTGAGGCTAACTTGTAGTCTTTTTTAAAAGCCTATAAAGCCAAGGGCTCGTGTTTTTAACTGTCTTATAGCTCCTGAGACCAGCTCTGGGAGGGGAAGGTGACCGGGTCAGGAGGCAGACTGGATCCACCTGCACAAGCTGCCGCTGGGGGACCTTGCTGCCTTGTCTTTCTGGAACCTTCCTGCAGCTGACCACATTGTGGTGGGAGGGACGTCTGAGGGACCCCTCACCTGGTTCTGCAGGAAAGGGGCCCTGGCAGGAGCCCTGGGCCTTATCTTTGGGGGCAGGGGGGCATCTGAGTGAGAAATGGCAGACCCCTGTTATTAGCCCTAATGGCCCAGCTAAAAGCCATTAGAGATATCTTGGTACAAATCAAGTGCAACACACCTCAAGAGGAAAGAGTGCAATACTGTTAATGAGGGAAATTAATTATTCATCACTGTGTTTCCTCTGTTCAGGGGCCCGTGTTTGGCTATTGGAGCTGCGGTACCACTCCCATGATAAATGTCCCTAACAAAAACACAGTGCTGGCCAGAGTATAAAACCAGCCCACGCGCAGGCCGGTTTAAAAGGGAATTGTGTGCTCCGTTTATCTTGTGTAGCTGTACGCCTGTGTGTGCGTGCACTGTGTGTGGGGGCCGTGCCCACACGGTCCCCAGTGCCTGCTCACCCCTGCTTGACCTCAAGGCCTCCATTCTGATGTCACTGCTCACCCCTGCTTGACCTCAAGGCCTCCATTCTGATGTCACTTTTGGGGGTGCTGCTCTGACTCCCCCACTGCAAGGGGCCCCTTTAATATGTCTCCATCGCCTCCATCCATTCGTCATTACAGGTCTGAGGGCCCGATGTGCAGGCACCTTCCCAGCGGGGGAGCAGCCACCCCCCACCCCCAGGGTCAGGACAGGGGATCCTGTCCCCTCGGGCTTCCTGGGCACCGGGCTCAGCGGCCAGGCTGTCCGAGGGGGAGGACAGATGAGCACCCCCACGGGACACCCCGCGCTTACTGATGATCTGCATGGTGCCCAGGTCTATGCGGATCTTCTGGAAGCTGGAGAAGCCGGCTGCCGTGTAGTCCTTCCGGCACTGGCAGTCGTCCCGCCGGCTCCCGTTGTAGGGACACTCGGTCGGGTTGTGCAGCCTGCAAGCCGGAGAGAAGGTTCCGGTGAGGACGGACGGATGGATGGACGGCATCCGGGAACCCGCAGGGCTGGGCTTCCCGGGCCGAGCCGCCTACCTGTGCCCATACACCTCGGAGAAGTTCTCGGCGTCCCCGCGCACCAGCGTCAGGTACTCCTTGGGGTGGTCGGACTGCATCCCTGCGCAGAAGATCTGGAAGGCAGACGGGATTCCCCGGGGGGCGGCTCAGAGTGGGCCCCAGGCCTGGCCCCTCGGGCCCCAGGCGTGAGGGAGAGGACGGCCGCCTCACCTTCAGCAGCTTCCCCTGGACGGTCAGGAAGTACTCCCCATCCTCCGTGGCGCCGTTCAGGTGCTTCACCTCCCGGCAGCTCTGGGGCAGCTCGCCTGGAAAACACGAGGGGCCACGTGGCTGAGACGCCCCGGGCTGGGTGTGTCGGCAAAGGGGACGGTTTCTCTAAAATACATGGCTTATTTCTGAAGTGGGCAGGCAAACAAGTGAACAGAAAACCCCGTTCTTTAGCCCCAGCTGGTTTGGCTCAGTGGATAGAGCACTGGCCTGCAGACTAAAAGGTCCCAGGTTCGATTTTGGTTAAGGGCACATGCCAGGATTGTGGGCTCGATCCCCAGTAGGGAGCATGCAGGAGGCAGCCGATCAATGATTCTTATCATTGATGTTTCTCTCTCTCTCAAATCAATAAAAATATATTCACACACACACACACACACACACACACACACACACACACACACATCACCCGCTGTTGTCGGGCTCCAGAGAGGCGGCTTCACTCGCTGACTTACAGTTGTAGAGGTTGTGGCAGGCTTTCCTCTCCTCCGGCTTCAGCTCGGCGGGGCACAGGTGGCTGGGCTGGTCCTCGTTGGTCAGGCACTGCACGGACCGGTGCCGCACCCCGAGGCCACAGGACACGGAGCACTGCGAGGACAGCGGGGTCAGGCGGCCGGCGGGCACAGGTCACGGCAGACCCTCGGCCGCTGAAACCAACAGCTGACTATCGAGCACTTTGTGGGCCCCTCCCCGCGCTGAGTTTTACTTCTACCATTAAGCAGGCCTGCCACCCTCAGTTCCATGCATGTGCACATAGGGTGTGACACACTTCTGTTCTCACTGCAGTCTCACAGCGACCCTCGGAGAGTGACGCCATTGCTCCGTGCAGAGCAGAGATCAGGGCTCCCATGGCCAACTGGTTCCGGGTCCTGGCGGAGCCAGGGTTCAGCGACGCCCATGCTTCTGCCCGATCACTGCCATAACAGGCTATGTTAGCCCGGGCGAGTGACCCAGAACTGCAGGGAGCCGGGGCAGCCCCCGTTTAAAATCTTCTCCCTCGGCCCGGCCAGTGTGGCTCCGTGGCTGAGTGTCCATCTATGAGCCAGGATCTCACAGTTCACCCAGGCAGGGCACGTGGCTCGATCCCCAATGGGGGGCGTGGCCGATCAACAATTCTCTCGCATCACTGAAGTTTCTCTCTCCCTCTCTGAAGCTGATAAAAATCTATTAAAAAAAAAAACATAAATAAAAATTCTCCCTTGTACCCCTTACACGACAGGACTACTTCCCAATGCAGAAGGCCTAGGCCACACCAGCTGCTCAGCCACAGAGTTCTAGGTGCTTTTTACTTTTTCATCGTGGAAACTGTATGCAACTTAACATGCGACACTCTGACGTCAGTGCCTTTTCTGTATTAAACCTTTCTTTCCCGCAGCAGGCGAGGCAACCGAGGCCCGGAAGTCCGGCCCTTGCCCAAGGTCTTTGGGCTGGGAGGTGGCTCAGGGCGTTCCTGACCAGGTCTCTTCTGGAAGGAGGATGGCGGGGGGGGGGGGTCAGGCAGGCTATGTGAGGGCGGGGCTTTCCACCCCACACGCCGTGACTGGGCAGCTCGGCCGTGTACTTACGCTGCCCCAGTTGCCCACCCTCCAGGTGGCGGAGGCCGGGCACTCCCGCAGGTAGCAGGGCTGCACGCTGGGCGGCTGTGTGCCAGGACAGTTGGTGGCAGCCTGGTGGCCGTACTCATAGTTCTCCTTCCCGGTGTAAATCTCGCTGCAGGACACCAGCCTCTGCTTGTAGCCCTTCCCGCAGGTCACCGAGCACTGAGGAGAGAGGGGGTGAGGGAGAGGCTGGGCAGGTGGCCATGCCGAGCCCCAGCACGCAGGAGACAGGGACCTCCTACGTCTGTGCTCCCACTGGGTGCCTGGGTGCTTCAAGCACCTTTGTGGGTTTCCAGGGGAGAGGGGGTTAGGGGTGAGAGAGAGCTCCAGCTGTCTTTGGCTCCATTTACAGCCTCCACAGCCCACACCCTGGCTTTCCCAAACGGTCAGAGAGCTGACCGAGCAGGACGCAGAGAGCCCGAGCCGTCTGGCCCGAGTGTCCGACCTGAGCGCGTAGCCACAGGGGACAGGCCCCTCTTCTGCTCCATGGGGTTTGCCTTTCCATCTGACCGCCACCCTTTCCCTCCCCTCTCTCTCCCTGGCTACATAGAGTGACCAACATGTTGCCTTTCTGCTTCTCTGTCTGTCTGTCTCTCAGTCATGCAGCCATTGAGCTCATCTGCCATGATCAGCGTGCATTGGACATGCCCATGGCACGGAAAAGGAGAAGAAACAGTACCTCACTAGTGTCCCCCTCCGTGATGGGACACCTAATTGGTTATTGATTTTATACGCGGTTCAACTTTCCCAGCGAAGTATTTCATGTATCGATACTATTTAAAAGTAAATCGGAATGACAATGAACTTCATTTTGAAGGTATTTTTAGTCCAAGTCACCACCTAACTGGCCGTCCCTTGTGCCGGTGCCCCTGAGTTCAGCGGAGCATGAGGCCCGAGAGCACAGCTGTCCGAGGGGGGCCTCGGGGACCGTCCAGCAGTGGCCGGCGTGGCTGCTTCTCTGGGCCGAAGGCCCAAAGCGCCCCTTAGCTCTGTGCACTCTGGAAGCCACAGCCTGCTCTCTCCTCACCCCCGAGCTGTGCTCTGCGCCACGTGGCTTCCTCCTGACACTGCTCCAGGGAGGGAGCTGTCCTTGAAGGCCTGCCAGAGGCAGGAGGGACAGGCCTGCCGCAGGCATGCATGGCACCTCCCGGGGCTCGGAGCTGTCGCTGCCCACGTTTCTTCCTTCTTTGGCAGCCGCTGTTCAGACGCCAGAGACCCAACTGACGCCAGGCCGGGGGTGTGAGGCCCAGCTGGGGTGTCTCACGTGCGGGCAGACGGCAGAGGGCTGCCCTGGCCGAGCTGCGGTGGGAGCGTGTACCCAGGGCTTGCGTGGTGCGGTGACCTCAGTCCGCGTGAATCTGAGCAGGGCTGTGTGTCTGCCAAGGCTGGTCCTGAGCATCACCACTCAGGGAGCAGCCCGCAGCCATGAATGGGGACACGGTGGCTGATAGGCAGTGGCTGGTGGAACTGAACCCAAATATGGTCAGGGTTTATTCGGAGGCCTCCACATCTAAAGAGGATCTGGAAGCATGCACCCTGCCTCTGGCTCCCGAATGCATTTCAGAGCAGAGCTCAGAGGCGGAGGAAGCTCACCCATAGGGGCGGGGGTGAGGGGCAAGTGCAGAGGTGGGGGAGGTCCTGTCGATTCTCCCTGCTTTGGGGTCACCTGCTGGCCATGAATGTGGGTTGCTTTTCTAACTGGGAAATAACAGTGAAGTGAAACAATTAGAATGTGGGCTGGCTTCTGGCCTCAGTGACACCTTCCGGCCCACAGGAAAATGCACCAGCCCTGGGACTCCGCTTTCCGATCTGGCCCTGGAGCCCCAAATTCAGGAGGCCAAGCATAGGGAGGAGCCCAGGAGCCATGAAGATAATTCTGGCCCCGTCCTCTGGCCCCTTCCCCTCACAGGGCCCTGTGGCCCTGTGTGAAGTCCTGTCTCCAGCCCCCTCCACTTTGCTTGTACATTTGCAGATTTTTCAATCTGTGACACATCTGGGAATTTTAAAAATTCAATCTTCTCCCTATGTCATCCTTTAAGGGTTACGGTTAGGTTTTAAAGCTACAGGAATAAGGACTCCAGACTTAGAGACCAAATCCCTGTAGCAGAATAACAACTCGCCACTGACTCCCCTGCACAGCAGGAGGCTTGGCAGCACCCTGGTCACCACCAGACTTCAGGGCATCCCCCTCCCCCAGCAGCCATGTCTCCAGACGTTGCCCAGTGTCCCCTGGGAGGGAGGCAGAGTCGCTGGAGTAGAGAGGAGGATGGAGAGGCGAAGCTAGAAAAAACGTCAGGACCAGTTTCATAGAAACAATTCCACACACGCAGACCCGGAGAGCCCTGGGCAACAGCAAGCGCCTCTGCAGGAGCCCGGTCCTCCCTTTCGCACCTCTGGATTCTTCTGGGCAAATCACAGCTGGTCTGGAGGTTACAGACCCTTGAGATTCCTTGGGTATTATGGGAAATTATTTTGTTCCTGATAAATGGAGTTGTTAAAGCAGAGTTTTTAAATGGGCAACCCACATCTGGGCCATGAATGTGTTCGGTTTGCCCCACACAATGTTTCAAACAAGTAATCTGAGTCCTCATTTTAAAATTAGGAGACCTCAGATAAAACCCCGGGCTGTATCTGTTCCTGAAAAATCAGGATTGGACCCACATTTCTGCACGACCTCCGCGTGTGGGAGAGAGCCGTCCCGTTACACACGTGCTAGTGTGCCGCAGTCTCCGCCTCTCCCTGCCACCTCCCGGGCACAAAGGCGTTTTCTTACATGTAACTCTCTTCTGCACGGAGAGGATCTTCTGATTGCAGCCCTGGTTATGATGTCTCTCTAATCATACCAGCAGGGCATCAAGTGACTCACAGAACCAAGAGTTGAGGGGAGCTCACCCCCTCATGCACCCTCCCCAGCACACACACGGGGCTTGGCCGGGAAGGCAGAGGGACTTGTCTGAGGCCTGTGCTCAGGGGCATGCCTGCTTCCCACCCTGCTCCCCTCGGGCCGCCACTGACCGCCGAGTCCCCGGACGCACCTCCGACCACTCTCCTGTGATCCAGATGTACTCGCAGGGCTGCACGCTGCAGCTCTCCCGGTCCACAGGCCGCTTGCTGGGGTCGCAGAGCCCGCCGTGCACCTCGCCGCCTTTGTCCTCATCCACACACAGCACCCGGCGGTACCGGGTGCCCTCGCCGCAGGTCCTGGTGCACTGCGAGGCCAAGCAAAGAGGGCTGTTGTGCAAGGTATGGAAAGGCGATGTCCTGGTCTCCCATATCTGATAGAGCCTATTGTGTCTAGAAGGAGATCTTCTTGAGTAATTGCTCATTTTCCTGGCTGACACCCCTTAAGACTGACACCCTGGGATGAGCCGGGGATACCCACAGCACTGCCCTGGCACAGCCCGTAACAGCCAGTGTGCGGCGCCTGCAGCAGGAATGGAAATGGGATGATGAATTTCAGGTCTGCGAAGGCCTAATGGTCTGTTTACTTTAATCACCTACCCCACTCAAATATGGAATGCTTTTCAAACAATGGCCAAATGGTTTTCAAACTATTATTTAGTCCCTTCCCTGACTCAAGAGGTAACTGAGTACTTAAGTCAGGGAAGTCATTACCTGTCCACGTGGCCCATTTCATCTTACACCAGGACTGCAGGTCCCAGCCTCTTGTCCTGGTGGCCGGTTGCAGGTAGCAGAGAGGACGAGCTTCGTTTCTCACCAGTGACCCCTCCAGGCTTGGAGGAGCGCTCTCTGGTGGCCCTACACCCTTTCTCCTCCAGGTGACCTGCTCGCCTGGCCATTCAGCAGCTACCCACCAGGTTCCTAACCGGGGCCAGGCTGAGCGTGGACAGGGTGGTGAGGCCCCTGCTCTCCCAGAGGAACACGTGTGTTTCAGTAGCAGAGTCAGGTAGGACTGGCTGAGGAGGCAGGGAGTGAGTGAGCAGGAGCTATAATTTCCATTTTCAGATGAAGAAACTGGGACCTGGAAAGCCCATATGACTTGCTCCAGGTCACACATCTCTGTGTGGTAGGAGGGACCGATCATGGTATTCCCAGCAGCCAAGCAAGGACACAGCAGCTGGTATGTGTTGTCCTGGGATGACCTATCTCTGCTGTCCTTTTGAGTTCGGGAGCCAATTTCACTCAAAAATCTTTCCTGAGAAAAATGGACAGATACATGCAAAAAAAACCCAAAATAAAACAAAATAGAAAGAAATACAGAAAGAAACTAGGTCACTTTCTTATATACCAGGTACAAGAATAAACTCCCAGTGGATTAAAAACTTAAATTTAAGACCCCCAAACCATAAAACTCCTAGCAGAAAACACAGTCATAAAATCTCTGACACTTCTCTTAGCAATATGTTTTCTGAGAAATCTCCTTGAGCAAGGGAAACAAAAGAAAAAATACACAAATGGGATTACAACAAAGGAAACCATCGACAAAAGGGAAAGACCAATTACTGGTTGGCAGGAGATATTTGCCAATAACACAACTGACAAGGGATTAATGTTCAAAATGTATAAAGAACTTATACAAGTCAACACCAACAAAACAAAACAAAACATTGGATGCAAATTTAAACCACATGAGATATCACCTCACATCTGTCAGAATGGCTACCATCAATAAATCCACAAACAACAATGGCTGGCAAGGATGTGGAGAAAAGGGAACCCTCGTGTACTGTTGGTGGAATTTAGTTTGGTGTAGCCACTGTAGAAAACAGTGTGGAGGTTCCTCAAAAGATTAAAAATGGAACTGCCTTTTGACCCAGTGATCCCATTTCTGGGAATATGTCCTAAGAATCCAGAAACTCCAAATCAAAAGAATATATCTACCCCTATGTTCACCACAGTGTTATTTACAGAAGCCAAGATATGGAAGAAACCCAATTGCCCATCAGCAGACGAGTAGATAAAGACATGGTGGTGCATGTATTCAATGGAATGTTCTTTGGCCATAAAAAGAATGAAACCTTACCACGTGAGGCAGCAGACCTAGAAGGTATGATGCCCAGAGAAATGTCAGTAGAAAAAGACAAATACCATATGACTTCACTTATCTGTGGGGTCTAAAGAACAAAATAAACAAACAAAACAGAAACAGACTCATAGATGCAGAGAACAGACAGGTGGTTGCCAGATGGGAGAAGAGCTGGGGGACTGGCAAATAAGATGCAGCGATTAATAAGCACTAACTGGCAAACACAGTCACAGAGACAGAGTGCTCAGCAGAGGGAATACAGCCAATAACACTGGAATAACAATTCCAGGCGGGCACTGAAATATTGAGGGGAACACTTTGAGAAGTATATGATGGTCTAACCAATATACTGTACACCTGAAACTAATACAAAATAATATTGAATGTAAACTGTAATTGAAAAATACAATTTAAAATAAAGAAATTCTTTCCTGATATTATTATTGTTATCATTATCCTTCTCCTCCTCCTCCTCCTCTTCCTCCTCCTCCTCCTCCTCCTCCTCCTCTTCCTCCTCCTCCTCCTCCTCCTCCTCCTCCTCCTCCTCCTCCTTCTTCTTCTTCTTCTTCTTCTTCTTCTTCTTCTTCTTCTTCTTCTTCTTGTTCTTCTCTCTCTTTCTCTCTCTCTCTCTCCTCTTCCCTCCCTCTCTCTCTGGTACAATAAGCATGATATAGCCATCTTAAAGTGTATAATTCAATGTCATTAAATTACCCATAATGTTGTGCAATAATTACCTTATGAACCCAAAACATTTTTATTGCCCCAAAAGGAAATCCTGAGCCTGTTAAGCAGTCACTCCTCCTCTCCTACTCTCCTCCCCTATGGCAACCACTGATCTGATTTCTGGCCTTATGAGTTTGCCTATTCTGGGTATTTCATATAAATCCAATTATCCAGTTATGTGTCCTTTGGTGACTGGCTTCTTTCATTTGGCATAGTGTTTTCGAGGCTATCATGTATCCAGTTTATGGCTGAATAATAGTCCAATGCATGGATATGCCATGTTTAGTTCAAATGTTGGTGGATAAATAGGGGTAATTATTGCATGACATGGTGGGTAACTAAATGCTGTGGATATGCACCTTCGCCTGATTTCAATTCTTTCGGCTGCATTCCCGGGAGCGGAAGTGCCGGGCCACATGACTTCTGTGAGCTGCTTTGCTCTCAGAGATACAGAAGGGATGTCTGGCTTGTTCGGGTAGCCCCTTATCATTTGCAGACTTAACTCGAAATGTATTCCTGCTGCTTGGAAAAAACCCATCATGTCTAGAATGTGAAGTTGTTTGTAACTTCTCTGGGGCACAAATATGTATCAACATCACTAGAGGTGAGCAAAGAGGAGCAGACTGCTCCCAACCAGTGCGGGGCTGGTGGACCCGGGGCTGGCTCCGTCCTGGTTCGTTGGTTTGGGGGTTTTCTGGGCCCCTGGCGGGTGCTGAGAAGGACTGCGAAGTAATACTGTTTTTGTGTCTTCATTTAAGAAATGCCAAATAAGTTAGGGAGCCACTGACTGTTACAACACAAAACAAAGACGTGGTTAATTTGGGATGTGTAGGTACAGGCAGGGGAAATACTTAACTCCCCTCAGAAAAAGCAGTTCCCTAGAAATCAGGACTTGGTGGCTCAGAGGATGAGGCTGAGCAGCGGCCTGCCCCAGGGCCCGGGCCCCATGCCTTCCCTGACCCGCAGGGTTTTCCCGGTATCAATGAATAACAGCTTAGAGCAGCAGGGCAGAGGTGACTAACTCCTTCCTGCTAGCTCAGTGCTTCTCTCTTGGTTTTGAAGAATGTGTAACCACCATCAACGCTCCTTAGCTAATGGCGGAAAGGGAGTTGGAAGACTTATTTTGTGTCGAGGTAAGAAATGCCCAAACCTGCAGAGGATATTAATGAGTTTCTTTGAGCCAAACTGACAATTGCCAAGAAGCAAAATCTCCATGGATGGAGACACTGCTCTGGAGCAGGGCAGTTTGCAGCTTATTTCATACATTAGAATCACAGGGGGAGGCATAGGGAGGTTACATGAGCCCACTATGGTACATTAGGGGGGTGGCAGCAAGCAAAGCGGGAAGTCTCTGGGATGGAGAAAAGGCAAAATGGAGAAACACGTGCTTCCTTTCCGTGAGTGGGTACAGGGTGGTCATATTCAGCCCCAGCACAGGGAGGTGGTGTGGGGAAGAGGTAATGGTGAGGGCTCCTGGGCTCCGCTCTCGCAGGAAGAGGGTGAGCCCAGCCGGGTCTGGGGAGGAGATGAGCTGACATCCCAAGGCCTGTTATCTTGGAGGCAGAAAGACAACAGACGCTCAGGGAGCTAAAGAGTGACCTTTGTCAGGGAGGCTGCAGGCCTGGGGTGTGACTCCTGGACATGCCTCGCTTTTGGTTCCGAAGTGTTATGTCAGACCTTCCTATGTGGTTATTTTTGGTCTCTGAGTCTGTGAGGCCGCCTTGCGGGCCTCCCCTGAGCGGTCAGGTTTAGGGTATGGCCCCCTTTTTGCCCACAATTGAGTCTAACTTTTAGAAAAATGAAGGTAAGCAAGATGTGCGTGCTCTGGAAGGAGTCTAGTCTGCAGACGCTCTGGAGTCGCAGCAGCTTGTCTGTTGGCACCTGGACCTGAACCAGAGCTGAGGCAGGCACCTTATGTGGCTATGTGAGCAGATGTGGGCTAACAACAGCCTGTGACCGCAGTGGAGGACAGGGTGGGCTCCCGCAGCTGGAGGGGTGCTGGGGGTCGGCTGGCGGGGAGCAGGAGGTGGTGAGTGGCGGCCAGGGGAAGCTGGCCCTGGCTCAGGGGGGCTCCGCATCCCTGAGGCTGGGAGTGAATGACATCCAGGGGAAGGGGAGTTGGGTGACTATAGCAGCTTGGAGTTGCGAGAGCCTTCAATCTGGGATTAGGACTCCCAAGGAGGGCAGAGGTCAGTCATGAGGGGCTCATCAACCTCCTACAAGGCTCTGGAGAAAACTGTAACACTTGCCTAGGCTACAGGGAGTGTCATATCCCCTCCCCTCCTGCACCCACCTCCTAGCGCCTGGTCCCCACCCCCTCTCTGGCGATAGTTTTTGGTACAAAGGCCCTGCGCTCTGTCCTCCCTCTTCCTTTGACCTGGAATCACCTTCGCTTGCCCTTGGCCTCCTGACCACCCTAGAGACTAGGCCCGGTCTGCCATTCTCTGTCTCTCTCATGGCGCATCCTTTCTTCCCAGCCACTGCACTTTTAACAGTTGGCAATTTCATGTGACATGTTTGCTTGTTTTCTCTCTGTCAAATCCACCACGGCAGTTCCGTAATCTCGACTGCATCCCTGATGCCTAGTGCCTGGCACTTTGCAAGAGCTTGATAAAGATTTGTTGAATGAGCTGAAGCCGGTTTGGCTCAGTGGTAGAGCGTCGGTCTGCGGACTAAAAGGTCCCGGGTTCGATTCTGGTCAAGGGCATGTACGTTGGTTGCGGGCACATCCCTGGTGGGGGATGTGCAGGAGGCAGCTGGTCGATGTTTCTCTCTCATCGATGTTTCTAGCTCTCTATCTCTCTCCCTTTCTCTCTGTTAAAAATCAATAAAATATATTTAAAAAAAAAAAAAGATTTGTTGAATGAATAAGAAAGAGCTGGTATCAGGCCCTGATCACTCCCTATTGGAAACGTGATGAAAACTTTATAACCACTGACCAAGGACTGCTGCTCATTTCTAACTTTTCTGAGCTAAGGCGATAGATAAGTAACATGGGAGTCACTGCACAGCTGATCCCAATCAAAGTTCTTAGAATCCAAGTTCCCTCCCCCTACCCCCACCCCCACCCCGGGCCAAACAGCTGTGGGATGGTAGCTTGCAAAGGCCACACATGCCCCAGCACAGCCTGTCCGTGGCAGTATGACAGGGAAACAAAACAGCTGTTCTTACAGGAACGCAGGAATTTGCTTGCCTGTTCTAAAAGGCATCCCAAAGGTTTAAAGAAGAAAGGCCATCGATGAGCAGGCATTGTCTATAATTCCTTCCTTCCTTCCAACAACGTCTTGTCCCTCCATTCATTTTATTCATTCCACAGTGCCTTCAACACTCCAGGTACTGTGCTAAGTGCCGGGGGTAACTCGGGTGAGTAAACTCTCTGACCCCAAATAGCTGATAACACACATAAGGGAAACAGGGACAGCACTTCAGAGTGCTAGCTGCTAGAGCTGAGTGTTCTCAGGCTGCTGTGGGGAGGGTATGTGACTCAGTCATTAGTTCGGAGGGGTGATTAGCACAAGCTTCTGAGAGGAAGTGACCTCTGAGGCTTGAAGGACAACAAGGGTAACCGAAGCAAGGGAAGGAGCAGGGCAGCCTCGCTGTGACCCAGAGTTTGTAGGGAGGAAAGGGAGCATTCAAGGCAAAGAAGAAAAAAAGAAAGTTTGCCAGTCCTGTGAGGTTTATTCCTTAATGCTGAGAGATGCGTAACCCACATGCTCACAGTTCAAATTTGACCGAAAGTCCTCTGAAAGCTATAAGAAAAAAAATTTGTCAGATTACAATACTATTACTAAATAAATCCTTTGTGGTTGTAATTTTCAAGGGAATTGAAAAGTCCTGTCTTCCTTTTTACAAATTCATACAGCCTCCTGAGCATTGTAAGTCTAAAATGGATTAAAGACTTAAACTTAACACCTAAAATCATAAAACTCCCAGAAGAAAACATAATGGGTCAGTTTCTTGGCATTAGCTTGGCAATGATTTTTTTGGATTGACACCAAAACCAAAGGCAACAAAAACAAAACTAAACAAGTAGGAGTATATTAAACTAAAAATGAGCAGAGGACCTGAATAGACATTTCTCAAAAGAAGACAAATGGCCAACAGACATATGAAAAGGTGGTTGACATCACTAATCATCACAGACATGTAAATCAAAACCATGTCCCCCCCATCAAAATCAATGCCACCTCACACCTGTTAGAATGGCTATCTTCAATAAGACCAGAAATAACAAGTGTTGGCAGGATGTGAAGAGAAGAAAATCCTCATGCATGAATTGGTGTAGCCACTATGGAAAACAGTATTAAGGTTCCCCAACAAATTAAAAACAAAGCCATCATATGACCCAGCAATTTCACTTCTGGGTATTTATCCTAAGGAAATAAAATCACTAACTCAAAAAATATATGCAACCCCATGTTCATTGTATTATTTATAATAGCCAACAAGTCACCTAAGTGTCCATTAATAGATTAATGGATAAAAAATATTATATATGTATTTGTGTGTATACACACACACAATGAAATATAATTCAGCCATGAAAAGGAAAGAGATCCTACTATCTGTGACATGAATGAACCTTGAGGGCATTATAGTGATATAAATCGGACAGAGAAAGACAAATACTGTATGACCTCAATTATATGTGGAGTCTTTAAAAAAAACAAAACACCCAAACAGAAGTATAGAGAATAGATTGGTGATTGGCAGAGGTGATGGGATGGGGGTTTGAGGGGAAGTGGGTGAATGAGTGAAGCTGGTCAAAAGGCACAAACTTGAGCCCTGGCTGGGTAGCTCAGTTGGTTAGAGTGTCATCCTAAAATGCTAAGGCTGTGGGTTTGATCCCTGGTCAACCAATGAATGCACAAATAGGTGGAACAACAAATAAAGGTTTCTCTCTCTCTCTTTAAAAATCAATTACAGAAAGAGGTAAATAAGTCCCGGGGATGTAATGTACAGCTTGGTAATCATAGTTATAATATCCTATCACATATTTAAAATTTGCTAAGAGAGTCTTAAAACTTCGGATCACAATAAAAATAATTTATAAGTATGTGATGTGATATTAACTATAACATAACTATTTTTAATAATAACTAAACTTAACTGTGGTAATCCTACTATAATATACACAAATGTATATTTTCATTGAAAATGAAAACAATGTTATATGCAAAAATATCTCAATAAAACTGGAATACAGTGGCATTGTCACATTACTGTAAAATGATAATAAAAAAGAATGCAGTATAGTATCTCATGATGGTTTAAGAGGGAAAAAACTTGGGATAGAGTCTTGCTTCTTCTACCTGCTAGGTGTGTGGCATTTGGACAAATGACATTGGCTCTCTGAACCTCAGTTTTCTTGACTGCAAAATGTAGTAATAATAATACCCACTTTGTCCAGTGGTTGCAAAGATTAAGTGAGATGATGAACCTGAAGCACTTAGCCCAGTGCGGGGCACGATGTCTCCCTGTTCTAAAAAGTATTCCTGGTGAGAAATTTCTGTCTTATTATCCATATTGCTGAACCTTTTACAGCATGCACTTTCTTTTTTAAAATTAAATTTATTGGGATAACATTGGCTGATAACATTATATAAATTTCAGGGCTACACCTTATAATCCGGTCTCTGTGTACTGTATTATGTGCTCACCACCCGAAGTCTAGCCTCCTTATGTCATCAGATATTTGATCCCCTTTACCTTCTTTATCCCCCACCTCCTTCCCCTTGTAACCACCATTCTGTTGTCTGTATCTATGGGTTTGCTTTCTGTTTGTTTTAACTTGTTCCTTTCAGCCTTATATCCCACATATCAGTGAAATCATATTTGCTCTTGTACTTTTCCACCTGACATACTTAGCTTAGCATAACACTCTCAAGATCCAACCATGTGTTCACAAATGGCAATATTGCATCTTTTTTATGGCCAAGTAGTATTCCATTATATACACACAGGGAGAGCAAAAGTAGGTTTACAGTTGTGAGTATGTGAAACACAGCTTATTCTTGTATTATTATTATTTAGGAACTACGGTATCATTTATTTGTAATACAACTATAAGCCTACATTTGCCCACCCCCGCGTGTGTATCGCATCTCCTTAAGCTAGTCATTTGCCAAAGGACACTTGGATTGTTGCCATGTCCTGGCTGCTGTGAATAACAGCATGCATTTTCTACTTCATTCCAATGTCAGTGGGTGTGATTTTGCTTCCTAAAGCTCTTCTGCCCCCTCCCCCCGTTTTTTCAATCAAATCTTCTGATACAAAGGTTCCCTCCTACGAATGCCTTTCTTTGCCAGCCAGATGTTTCCCCAGGGACATTTTATAATACTTCACTAATTACCGGGATTTCGATGAGGGCCTGTCTTCTACCTCACAGCCTAGTCCTGGGAGCAGGACAGTACACGGGAGTCCCAGCTCCAGTCTGTGGCTGTGGCTGTCTGCACTCACACAGAAAGGCCAAGTCTGGATATACATATTTAAGATATTTCCTCATTCCCCCCTCCTCCAAAGATGGTTATCTGCAAGCATTTTGCCTAAGGCAGCAGGATCGGGAACCTTCCAGGATGTAGACAGAGGAATTGTGCAAAAGGAGGAGCCACCCCACCAGGATGGGAGTGAGCTGCCTTCCTTGGACCGCAGATCTCTGGGTCAGAGCCAGCCCTGTCATCGGGCTCCAAGGCTTCACTGGGGACGGATGTGATGACGGGAAGGGGGTTGAGCAAATGCCTGGCAGGTGCCCACTGCATGGCTCTACTCACTTCTTGCCACTCCTCTGTCCTCCAGGCGTAGAGCGGGCACAGTGGGGCCCTGCAGGTGCGCTCCGCCTCCGGCCTGGTGTATGGGTTGCACTCAGTCTCCGCAGCTGCCTTGCGGGGTCCCAGCTGGCAGCCCACGTTTCTCCTCTGCACGCCTTGGCCGCAGGACACAGAGCACTGCGAAGACAGACCGTGTAAGTGGGAGCTGTGGGTCACTGGGTGGAGGGGGGCGAGAGACGCACAGACCTGGAGAGGCACCCTCATCGGACCCTTTCCCAGCTGCCACCAGGGCTTCTAATGTCCAGCGAAGGAGACCCACTGCCTGCGCGTGTCGGGGAGGAGGAGGAGGATGTGGAAGTTTGGGGGATCTCTAAAGTGAACAAAACTCTTGGGATGACTGAAGGGGTTGGGAGAGACCATTCGGACACATTTAGTACAGCCTAGAAAAAGAGCTGCCACGTGAAATGGGAATCTCAAATAACGGCTGTCCAGGAGGATTTGAGGCTTTTGAAAATGGGCACTCCAGCACTCTACAGGAATAACTCCTTGGCAGGTTGAAAGAATAACCCAAAGAGAGGAAGTAGAAGGAGTATTTCTCCAGCTTCTTCCTCTTTCTATTCCTGGAGATGGATGACTTATTTTTTAAAAAAACTATGGCATTCACTGAAGTATTTCTGTCTATCTACAGTCTAAGATGAATACATAGGAATAAAAGCTGACGAAGTAAAAACCCTTTCCACAGGCATAATGTTTCAGCTCCTGAGAAATACTGCTAATCAGGCTGAACCATTTGGTTGACCAAGTTGCAAAACACCACATTAAATCTGCAATTAACTTCCCTCTAAATTAATTTTTTAATGGCTTCCTCATTGCTGGATTTTGTAATCTCACTGATGGGTAGGCCAAGAAAGATAGTCTTTATTAAGGCTTTGACAGGTAGAAACTGAAGGCACCACATGTTATTACCCTTAGCTACTTAAAATGTTTACCAAGTGTTTTTTTTGTGATAGCTCAGCCTCCATTCATTTGGCTGGCACGGAGAAAACAAGTTTAACAGACATCAAAGCCATATTCCTCGGAGGAAGTCTTTACAAAGAATAGAATTACGCTCTTAAATTGGAAAGAAATTCTTATCCAATTAACCTGCAGCAGGACTCATCTCACTCTGAGCTCACGGAAACTGACTCTCACGTGCACCCATGGGACTTGCTAAATAGGAACCTCATTGCCATTTCAGGTTTTACTGGTAAGAAAATAGGTGATACTGTGTGGAAGGCAGCTCGGGAAACCATATTGTTTCAGAGGAGTCTGTGCCAGGCAGAGCCCCAATGCTCAAAGCCGGCTGCAGAGGAATTGTTCTGGAGAAACACAGGTGCTGTTTTAGATTATTTGTATTCATTGGATTGCCTTAGTTTGTGACCCACAGAAACCAGACTTTTAAAGTCATTATGTCCCATGGAATGGGGAGCATCGAAACAGGAGCCATGGCCTTGTGTCCAGGGGGTGGCCGTAGAATGCCACGGGAGCCACGTGGACAGTATTTCCCACTGGTTACCCTGGAAACGCATGGGCGGTGCCACGGGGGAGTTAGACACGAATGACAGAAACATCACAGGCTGCTATCACCAACAAACAACAGCCACCAGAAAGCTCTCTGTCGATTTAAATTTGGGTCTAAAATATAAATCCGTACATTTCCAGAACAATGTGCCCAAATGGAAATACAAAGACAGAAAAAGGACAGTGACACAAACTAATCTGAGCTGGGCACAGGGCTGATATATATTCAAAAGCTCACGGTGCCTTAAGAGCCTAAAGAAAATTATTCAGGCTCACAGTCAGCAGAACCTCTTCTGAATGCTGTTCTTATCGAGTACATCACTCACAGCTCAAGGAAGGCAGGGCATCGAGAACCCTAAGTACGCAACATTTAAAAAATCACCTCCTACAAAGTGTGATAACTTTCCAGAGGCAAGTAAAGGCATGGGAAAGTTCAATTACATCATACATCGCTGTGGCTTCTGAGTTTTATAATGTCAAAGCCAGCAGCTATGAGAGGACAACAAAGTTTCCCCCTGGCTGAAATGCTTAGCAGGGCAGGCACGCATGCGTGGCTCCATAGGAATCTGTGTCAGAAGGGAGTGCCCTGCCTCAGGTCCTCTCTGGACTCCAGGCTTTTTCCTGTGCTGTCTCGGGGATGCGAGGATTTGCATACACAGACACCCAGGCTTGCTTGGCGAATCCTGAGAGGTTTGTGTAGAAACCCCATGAATAAAACAGCATAAAAAAGACCTCCACATGACCCCAGAGGTGGTGGCGGTGGTGGCATGTGCACTGTGCGTGCTTAATTCTTGTTTGTCAAGGGGAAAAGTTAAGCAGCCTGTGTGAACCTGTCCCCCACTGCCCTCATTCCGCACAGCAGTCTGTCTGTGTGGGAATGAAAGGTGGTGTTTTCAGTTCCGAACGAATGAGCCGGAGCTGGGTTTCATCTCTGTGCTCCCTGCTGTGCGGAGCTAGTGTGCAGAACTCACCACCCTAAAGAGGGAACGTGATGCTATGTGCTTCCACAGATAGAAGGATCTCTGTGGAAGTTCTGTTTGGGGAATCATAATATACACTTGAAAACCTGGAGAGAATTTTAGATACTTTCTCCCAGTATTACTGTGGTGACATTACTTAAAGGAGGGACTAGCTTGAAAAGTAATTATATGAACCAACTATCTATACTAATAATAGAGTTATGTGCAAATTGGTCAGGACGTCCTCATGCAAAGACCAAACAGTAGGCTGTGTGGGGTGACTAAGCTGATGGGGGAGGGGGCAGTGAGGGGGTGACCAAATGACTGAACAGCAGGCTATGTGGGGTGTCCAGGCCAGCAGGGGGGCCAGTGAGGGGTGACCAGGCCAATGGGGGGGCAGTGAGGGGTGACCAGGCTGGCAAGGGGTGGGAAGGAGAAGCTAGGGGCAATCAAGCTGGCAGGCAGAGGTGGTTAGGGGTGATTAGGCTGACAGGGGAGACAGTTAAGGGAGATCAGGTAGGCAGGGGGGCAGTTAAGGGAGATCAGGTAGGTAGGCAGAAGCCATTAGGGGCGATCAGGCAGGGAGGCCTAAACCAGCAATCGGACATCCCCCTAGGAATCCCAGATTGGAGAGGGTGCAGGCTGGTCTGAGGCCCTCTCCCCCACCCCTATACACCAGCAATGCACGAATTTCATGTACCAGGCCTCTAGTCCTATATAATAAAGAGCTAATATGCTAATTAGACCAAATAGCAGAATGACTATTTGGACGACCTTCTGGACGAAGCCAGGGCTGCGAGGGCCTACTCTTGCACAAATTTTGTGCGTTGGGCCTCTAGAAATAATATAACCATGTAATAATAGTGACAACAGTAACAGCAACATATTCTAAGCATTGAATATGACCAGTCTCTCAACTAGGGCTTCTCACCCTATATTCTCCTTACTGACTGTAGCTACTATGGGTGAGAATGTGGCTCCCTGCTTTAAAGTATGGCGCAAATAGGAGGCAGTCTTCTGTACTCTGTCAGCAGGAGTGTGGGGGAGAGGCCTGTATTCCAACAAGTCAACCTCTGCTTAAGGCCCAAACACACGCACAGCTCTGAGAGCACACACATCTGCCTCTGAAGCTGACCATGCGTGTATGGTCATATGGTCTCCTTGATTCCTCAAAAGACACGGCGACCTATTTGTCATGCTGCTTCCTTACACACGTGCTGAGCGCTTCAGAGCCTAACACCACAGCCAAGCTGTTCTCACTGTCGTCATGACAAAAATCCTAACCCAAACGGCCATTAGATTCACGTTGAAAGCGCCAGCTTCTATTTTGGCAATTGCTCTAAGAGCTTGAAAAAATGAATTATTTCCCTGAATCTAAGACACCAGTAATAGCAAGCACAGCATTATGTTTTTATCAGTAAGAAAGAAAACAGGGGATATTAATTACATCATGGCACGCCATTGATTGCTAGATCCATCCAGACCCTTGCAATGGTAAATCAGAAAAAAGACGGGTACCTCAGGATTGGTGAATGCACCCAGTGAATGAGTTCATGACTGATAAACTCTAATTTGATTATTTATTCTTTTCTAACCTTCATTTTTTTTTAAAAAGCCTTTCAATAGGAATAGGATAAAGTAAAAAAAAAAATCACTTGGAATGCTTTCATATTTTGACAAAACAGGTTTCTCACTTTTATCCAGAGGAATCAGGAATCTGATGTTGACTTTTGTCTTAAATTCCATACACATCTAACTTTAGCTCTTGATCAAAATCATCTAAACAACCTGAACAAGAACTTTTGAAAAAAATGCTTTAAAACTACAGTGAGGATGTTTCCTAAGAAAAGCATTCCTTTCCTTGGATAAATTTCCTTTACAATTTTAATATTTTCAAAAAGGATAGGTTGAATGAAACATTCCACTATAAGCCTCAAAAACTCCAATTCTGAGGGAGAGACTATGAAGATTAATTGGTACAACTACCCCAGTCTCCTATCCCAATATTCCATATGTCTTATTATCAGACATTTTGACACGATGAGAAATTGCACTAATTATTCTTCCTACCTTGAAGAAGAGATGACCAGAAAATAGCTACCAGCAAGAAGACACAGGGACCAGATATGAAATCTTATAAATTTGTTGCAAATGGATCATCATTACTCTGGCTGCAATTTCACTGCCTTGGGGATATTCCTGTCTACCACCATATCATTAGTGAGCCAATAATCCTTAATCACGCAGACTGCCTTTCTGTGTCAGCCCCTGGGTCTGGTTACTTTCTGGCACACTTCTAAGCTGCACACATTGGTTTTACCTCTGTAGCACCTTGTTTTACCTGCTTTCATAATTCTTTTCCACAAATCAACTCAGGGCATTAGAAAGCAGACCACAGACCATGACCAGGCTGTGTTTACTTGCATCTTCAGCTAGACCAGTGGTTGGCAAACTCATTAGTCAACAGAGCCAAATAACAACAGTACAAGGATGGAAATTTCTTTTGAGAGCCAAAAACCACCAAATTTCAATTGCACTGTACAAGTGTGCCAGCACGTGGTATTTTGTGGAAGAACCACACTCAAGGGGCCAACAGGCCGCATGTGGCTCGAGAGCTGTAGTTTGCCAACCACTGAGCTAGGCGTTTCTAAGCAATCACTTTGAACAGGTGCGGTGCTCTCTGAGGAGCTCTGATAATCCTATTAGCTTACGTTTGAAAACACCCCTGGGTTCAAAACCTAATCATCGCAGCTTTATGAGCAGTTTTAGATTTCCCATCAAGATCACTGGATACTGAAGTAAAACTCACTCTGTGCTTACCAATCAAGAAAGAAGGGTTCTTTTCCTTGCCCTTTTATTGAACGAATTGGACTTTAAAATGAACATCATTTTACATGCTCTGAGCTTAATATTCAGGGCAATATGTGGATAGGTAAGTAGAGGTAAGGAGCATAAAGAAAAGTGAGAGCACGGAAGTCTAAAAGGATAGGCTCATTGGTGTGGAACCCTAACGCACGTCAGCGGCAAGCCCTCCTGCGAACTGAAGAGCTCCCGGAGTAAGTCCAGGACCTAGAAGGTGGGGATGCCAGCGGCCACTTGGACAACCGCTACGGTGACTTGCGGCAAACACCTTGACATCGCATCCCCTGAGGACACCGAAGGGGGGCCTAGCCCTGGCTGGAAATTGCTTTGAGGCTTACATTACAACAAAAGCAAAACATGTTCATATGGTAAAGACTGTGAGAGGAATCAGACTCCTGTGCTGGAGAACATGCAGGGAAGTGGAGTGTGGCAGGGGGGGTCTCGGGGACTGAGATGCCAGTTTAAAACATGTAAGAAAATTCACATTTCTTGAATTTTCTATGGGTCACGTAGAAATGGAGGATTCTCATCTCCTCCCATGTTAATCCCGATGCCCAGTGCTTCTTTGGGGCCTCAGGGATCAAGACCTAGGCCCTGGCAGAGACAATCTAATGGCTGCCAACCTTGAACCTAGTGTTTTATTGATTCTCAGAATCATCTGCGTGGCTCTCCTGTACGTAGGAGAGCCACAGATTCCCTCAGACCTCCCTGAAGCAAAGCCCGGAGAGCAGCAGCGGCATGGGGTCCAGAACACGCGGGAAGGAAGGCAGCCGTCGTCTCAGTGAGTGCCTTCGACCGCACAGAGAAAGGTGCAAGTGTGGGGAGGCAAGGTTTACTTTAAGGACTAGATGCCAGTGACTAGTTTAGTTGTTTAAAAGTAAAGAGCCATTTTGAGAGTTCCTTCTTTAAAAAATAAAAATAAAAAAATAAAAAAATTATATATATATATAATTAATTGATTTTTTATAGAGAGAAAGGGAGAGGGATAGAGAGTTAGAAATATTGATGAGAGAAAAATACTGATCAGCTGCATACTGCACACTCCCCACTGGGGATGTGCCCGCAACCAAGGTACATGCTCTTCACCAGAATCGAACTCGGGACCCTTGAGTCTGCTCTATCCACTGAACCAAACCAGTTAGGGCTAGAGAGTTCCTTCTTGAACTCAACTTCGAAACCATCATCCTCAATTTCTGACTAGTCACCAAATGTTTGGAATTAATAGTTTATTGGGTATTAACCCCTTGCGCCTTCCGAAACACACCTCACACTCATCCAAACAAATTATTATCCTCGAGGGCCTATGAGATGCAAGTATGTGGCATTCATCACGGCACTGACCCCTCAAAAGAACTATGTGAAGTAGGCTCAGGAAGGTTAAAGAAAGCACCCAAGGCCCCATAACACCCCCACCTCTCTCGTATACAAGGAAATGGGCAGAGAAGTATTTTCTAACCCTTTATATGGACAGTCCTCTCTAAGACCCTCCAAGGAAAACTCACACACAGTTCCTGCCAGTCTGAGTGCGTGTCTTCTAAGTGGTGCGTGTAACACACGTGAAGTCAGGAGGGGCTGCTCTGTGCTAGGCATCTGACATTCGCATCTGCTACCACTTAGAATTAATCCTCACTCCACCCTACCGCAGGGATGTATCAGAGTGCCGAGGCCTGAAGCCACTTGCCCGGGTCCCACAGCTGGTACGTGTCCTGGCACAGTCTTCCCTCCCAATCCAGCGCTCCCCTCTGAAGAAGCAGAACCGGGCCCGGGAGCACGAGCCAGCACGCTGGCATCCCCAGGCCCGAAGCAGTCATAGGGAGAAGCAGTGCTCACCTGACTCCAGGCGCCAGCCTTCCACTTGGGGCATCGTCCTCCTCGGCACTCCCTGTGCCCATCTGGCTTAGCAAGGTGCTTACAGTACTCACTTTCTAAAAGGCTTCCGTCTCTTGCCATGCAGTAAACACTTCGTTGCTTATGCCCTCGACCACAAGAGACAGAACACTGAAATATAAAGCAATGGCAAGGTTGTTGTTGTTTTTTTAATCACATGGAGTTTAATAAAAAAACAAAAACAAAAAACAAAAAACCTATGTTGTGAGATGTTAAGATCATGCCTAGCAAGAGTCACTCACTATTCCCCTCTCCAGAGAGTTTTGGTAACATCTCAAGCACAACATGGGAGGAAGGCAGCAGGGAGGGAAGCACGTCCACAGCCCAAGCTTGTGGGGTGTTTTGGGGTCACTCAAGAGAGTGGGTACATCTTGATGATTTAGGCCAAGAATGAAGCCCACGGTCCTGAAATGACCATGCAATTCCGATTAAAAAGCTCCTACTCCGAATAAGGACTTCTTTTCAGATCTCACGTCTTGTGATCTCTGATCAAAACATTCCTTCAGCCAAAACTGATTTGGCTCAGTGGATAGAGCATCAGCCTGTGGACTGAAGGGTCCCGGGTTCGATTCTGGTCAAGGGCATGTACATTGGTTGCGGGCACATCCCCGATGGGGGGTGTGCAGGAGGCAGCTGATAGATGATTCTCTCTCATCGATGTTTCTAGATCTCTATCCCTCTCTCTTCCTCTCTGTAAAAAATCAATAAAATGTTAAAAAACAAAAACAAAAAACAACAACACATTCCTTCAGCAGCATGCCTCATGAGTCACTGATGTGGGTAGAGCTGCATTTCCAAAATACAACTGTGTCCCATTTCCCAATTAGAAGACTGAAGGACATTCCTCACCATTTTTCAGAGGATAACCTCTCATTTGCCCGGTCCACTGGGGAGAAGGGGGAAAGGCACGCTGGGAACTGGAAGGTAAGCTCGCAGGTAAGTCTGCCAAGTTCAGGAGGGAGGCATCGCCTTTCACCTTTGACCAGCAGGCTCATTGGACTGTTTTAAGCTTGACTTTGTCTGACCACATCTAGGAAACTTGACTTTGATTTCAGATTAGGTTCCTCAGGAAGGCCTAGGAATCAAAGTGCCCATGGAGTTGGGACAACAATGTGATGTGACAGCTTCTTGCCACACAGGCCAGAGGCTGCCCCAGTGAGTGAGCTGGGACAGGCAGCGTCCCTTGCTCATTAGTGATTACAGAAGTCATTACCACGGGATCATAAGCTTGCTGGCTCAGGTTCCTAAGACACATTATTTCCCCAATATAGCATTCCTGCTTTTCAGAGGGAAACGAGTTTAAGAATGAAGGGGGAAATGTAAAAATGCAATGAAAATAGATTTCAAGTGTCATTTCCTTCTAGTCAATATTAGTTTCTCCACGAAATTTGTGGTTTTGTTAGCTTAAATCGCTAAACGGCCCTTTTATGCCAAATAGATAAATAGCTCCATGTAAAACATGCAGCCTAATTTAACCACTATTCTCAGCCAAGCATGCTCAAAGTTATACCATTCATAACCTTGCCAGACATGTTTTGCTAGTAGACACAAGCCATTATAAAAATTTCAATAGTAGCTGATAGATTTAAAAATGTATCTTAACAGGTGTGGCTATGGTTGGCCTTAGGAGATGGATGCAGGATTTGGAGAAATTATTCTGTTAATCTTAATGGAGACAGGTGTGGAAGGAAGGAGCCCCCTTTGCATATCAACACCAAAACCGAACTAGCCATCATTCAACAGACAGTGCTGTGATGTGTATTAAGACTTTGGGGTATCATTCTAGAAGGCTTTCGGGATAAAGTTCCTAGGCCCCTCCCTACAAACCAGCGATCCAGTGACTTGCACCCAGGTACACCCGGTTATCAGTAACTAATTTTAATATTTTAAAATGTTACTTTAACAAGAAAGTAACACAAGGGCACAGTTAGAATTTGGGGTGAGTTCATTTGTTTATTCAATACACATTTATTGAGTACCTACCAAGTCGCAAGAATTATGCAATGTGTTGGAGATACAGTGATGAACAAAACCAATATACTACCTCTCCCCATAAAGCCTGTAACCATTATCAAGGGATGACAAAAATAAATATATGCTCATCCACTGAGAAGGGCGCTGGGAAAGAAAGTCCGGAGAGTTAGAAGAGGGCTCTCCGAGGCATCCCCTGGGGCATGCAGAGTTCACAGGTCACAGTACTGTGTTTGGAATTTTTCCTGCATGCAATGGGAAATCACTGGAGTTTTAAGTCAGGATAAGACATGGTCTCATTTTCGTTTAAAAAAATTCTACCTTGACTACTGCATGAACTATGGGTGAGAATGTAAGTGTGAGTGGAAATACGAAGCTTGCTTGGGAAGCTGTTGCATAGAGGAGAGGTGCTGGTGGCTTACGTTAGGTGCAGAGTGTGGGATGGGAGGCTGGTGGATTGAAGCCATATCTTTGAGGTGGAAAAATAAAACAAAAACAAAAACAAACAAAAACAAGGAGGGACCAGATGTGGGGTGTGGGGAGAAGTTCGAGTGGAGGATGACTCCTGAGTTTACAGTATGGGCAACAGGATGGAGAAATGACATTATGGAGATGGGGAAAACATTGGGGTTCACGGATATATTTAGTTGTAGAAAATTGGGCTTAAAAGATACAGACTCATGGATAGTAAATTTGTTTGATTAGAGTAATCAGATGAATCTGGGTGAACTTACAGCAAGTCTATGCTTAGGGATAATCATTTTAATGCACAAACAGTACAAACTATCCCTTAATATCGAGAGGCAGCAGGGAGTTGAGAGAAATGCCACATTAATAATCTGCAGTGGTCATCAGAAGAGAGAGCCTACCAGCAGACAGCAACCTTCAGAGGCAGGATTAGAAAAAGCACAGCTTTCTCACGTTACTTATCTGCCCGGAACTTCTCTAAGGCTTGTAATGCATTGTCTTATTTAACCATCCCGGTAACCATAGAGCGCGGTACAACTGGTGTCTTCAGTCTAGGGCAGTGGTCGGCAAACTCATTAGTCAACAGAGCCAAATATCAACAGTACAATGATTGAAATTTCAATTTGGCTTTTGAGAGCCAAATTTTTTAAACTGAAACTTCTTCTAATACCACTTCTTCAAAATAGACTCGTCCAGGCCATGGTATTTTGTGGAAGAGCCACACTCAATGGGCCAAAGAGCCGCATGTGGCTCTCGAGCCATAGTTTGCTGACCACGGAACTAGGGTAAGCACAGTGCTTTATGTATACCTCTGCCTATACAACTCCAACACCAGGGGATAGGTGTCCACCAGGAAGTCACAGCACCATGAGAATACTACATTAGCACATAACTGCCTGCATCTGAGGGCACCAGACACCTGACTGCCCATGAAACAGAGATGGCTGAGCAGTTGACAGAAGATTGTTTACCATCCAGATTAGCCAGGTCCCACATGCCTATGTGCCTTTCCTTATTTGGAGACTAAAACGGAACTGACTTGGAAAAAAAGAACAAAATACGTCAGCATGACTCACAGCACGTGGCACTTGCCTAACATTGTGAAGATCCTAATCTGTCAGGTACATAATCTGATAGAAAACACCTTTCATTTTATGCTTTCTAACTGCCCAATGAAGAAAAGCAGCTGCTAGTGGAAATTCTCATATCCAAAAGGGTATTAACGGGCCTATTATGACTTCATAGAGGAGCTGTGATTCTGATAATCAAATTAACACAGGTTTCAGCTCTCATATTCTGAGGAAAATTTCCATCCTACTGTTTCCAGTCCTTTCCCAAGCCCTGTCTTTTGCATCCACAAGCGTCACTGAGTGAACAGATAAATTTAGTGCGTCAGCCAGTACATGTTACTGGCTACATATCTGAGGGTTCTTGCTCTGGGAAATATCTTATTCCTTACATCTGCAGCTAAAATAGCCTCCTAGTTTCCCAACAGAAATGTGACCTTTCTCCTCTGGGGAAACAGCCCAGATTGCTTAGAATGGTTCCCCCTCCCCCATTTCGGAGCAAGACTCCCAAACATGCAACCCCTGCCTCTCACTCAGACACCAGGGCCCACAAGCAGCGCCCGCTCTGGCTCTTGTTTCTGTGAAGCCTGTCTAAGGGCATGCTTAACGCAGAGCGTTGTTCAGATGTAGCCTCAACACTCGCCGTAAACTAAGGTCTCAGAGTTTGAAATCCTTGCATTTCAGCTGCTCTGGGGAGAACGAGACTCAAGGCATGGGCAGGCTGCTCATCGCTTGTACCGAGGGCTTGCTCTCTGGGTCTGCTGTGCTGTCTCGACCTCATGGGCATCGGTCCTTCCCTCCTATTGAGGGGCATGGTCTCCCAGTCACCGAGAAGCCAGCAAACACCACAGCGTGTCTGCCTAGAAGGGAAGGGCTGAGACCCAAGAGAATGAGATCCCGGAACTGCTGAGGCTGCTGAAACCGGGCGTCCAAATGAAGACAGAGGATTACCCCGGAGCCGGTAAGGAGACCACAGGAGGCATCCGAAGGGGACGGTGGAGGTCAGGGGTCTACACAGAAACCTGGGCCGGAGGGTGATGGGGCTGACGCATTGTGGAGTGAACAGGACTGGCTGGGTTACAGCAGGTGCTTAAACAGATGGCCCAGGAGGAGGGCCCTGGAGTGTCTGGCTCGGCTCTGTGGGCCCAGGGCTTCTCATCTCCAAGTGATCTAGATACAGGAGGGTCTGTAAACAGGAGCTGTGTCTCAGGGGATGCTGCCTGGCTAGTCCGCGTTTCCAGCACAGGCTGGCTGACAGCACGAGAGAAGCCGGGAGGCACAGACAGTCCTCAGAGGGCTACCCACCAGCAGCCAGTAAGTCAAGACTCTCCCTGGCTTAGGATTTCTGACAGCTGGTAGCTCACCGCCACTCAGTTTTGAGACAGGAGGCCTTGCTATTATTCCAGGCCTTTCTCTGTGATTCTCCAAAAGATGAAAATAACATCTCAGTCACTTCATTTAAAAATGTTCAGTTGTGTCTGTTCATAACAACAACCAGCTCTTCTTGAGTCTATTCTCACTGTGACCTTGTTTAACGAAACATAACGTCACACCTCATCTGGAAAGTATTTTATCAGAATGATGCAATGCGTGCCCTCCAGGTTC